TCTCATTTTGAAATTGCTTGCGCGTGCTTGTTTTGAAAAGTTTGGTTTTACTTTATTTTAACCCTTGTTTTTGTCCTCAAGAGTGTTACGAAGCTGTTTTTGAAAAACTTGGTTTGAAAAGTGTTTGGTGTGAAAAAGCTTGTTTGTTTAAGCAAGTACCTAAGAACTAATCTACTTACTCGAAAAAGGCCTGTTCGTTTTTCCTTTTAGACAATGCTATCCCATTATTGCAAAATAGGTAGCATCATCGTTGGAGTTTTTTAGGGACATTCGAAGGGACATGTACGATCACAAAAGCAATGTTAGGAAACGTTAGTAATCATCCTAAAGCCTTAAAGATCTTTTTTTGAGGCAACATCCGAATAGGTCATTTTGGATCTTTCGGGGCTAGAGGACAACCACTTACAAACCCTATACTTCATGACCGTTTACCGAAGGCAACCAGAGTGGAATAAACCCTAGGAGCGAGTATGTGCGAGTGTATGTTTTCAGTTAATTTATCTTTGCACAATTAAGGTGATCTATTGTTTTAATTTTTACTTAGTCTTTCCATCAATCCTATTAACATACATCTAAGCAGTTTATAGTTTGCGAAAATTAAAATATGAGAAAGTTTAAAAGTCCTAGCTATTACAGGGCTTTCGCAGATACATAATTGTCTTGACTGCAAATAAAGATGCGGAAATTTAAAACCTTAATTAAATTTATTACAACCCGAAGCAGATACAATAATAGAAAAAAGAATTAAAATGCGCACGGTGAATTAAATGCGAGAATGAATTAAGAAACCTAAAAATCTAATTGAAAAATTATTTAGGTTATTTTTTGAGAAAAATCAATTAGGTTATGTACAAATTAAAACCCTGATTTCTTAATTAATTGAAATTATAAAAAAGGAATTAAATTTTCTCTAATTTTAATTAAACAAAGGAATTAAATTTGCTCTAATTTTAATTAAACAAAGGAATTAAATTTGCTCTAATTTTAATTAAACTAATTAATTAAAGAAATAAAATATTTTATGAAAAAAAATAATTTTTGATGTTTTTATGATTTTTTGATTAAATAAAAAAGAAAATAATTTTTGTGTTATTTTGTGAAAGGAAAATAAGAAAATAAGAATTAAAATAAAAGAATTAGAGATGAGCCTGTATTGAAGCTGAAAAGGGGAGGTGTAAGTTGAATTTTGTAAGCCCATTATGCTCAGCCCAGTCCTAGCGTATGATCTAGTGCTGGTCATGCCTGGAGAGTGTACCATGGTCATTGAGGTGTGGGACAATGGATCTGTGATGATGATAATCCATTGGCTGGATGCTGTGGTGCATGGTGGACTCCTAGGACGTGTATGTACATGATCTGTTAGGACAAAGTTAGAAAACAAAGAAAATGCTGGGACCTGGGATCAAACCCAGGTCCTCTACATTTCCAAACGCGCGCTTCACCACTGGGCCACCTGTTCTATTTGTTATAATATTGAACTAAGAATAATATAATACAATATGAGTTAGCCTGTTACAAAAACGCGCGAAATTTGAATCATCCACTCACGCCTCGCCACACCACTATCTTCTTCGCTGAGACCGTCATCTTAGGCTAAGACTTTTACCTACAGACAAGCGTCTATAGCCATAACCTGTGCACTTCAAAAATCACGTTCAAGCAATATAAATAAGATTCAAGACCATGGATTGATTGGGTTTGACACTCTGATCACAATGGTATCCTTCATTAGGGCCAATTGTTCCTGCATTTGAAAGCCCTAAAACGACAAGGTAAACCCTAGCTATGGCAAATATGCATACATGCGTTAAAACTTCAATTAAATGGTCTAGACATGTAGTAAACACGACAACAAACACAAATATACCATTAAAACATGTTCATGATGCAAGAATCATAGTAATTGAATCTGAAAAAGAACGCAAACCGTGTGACGTCTAGGGGGCGATTCTGGCCGTGAAAATGCTTGCAATGAATTGAAACACGTTCTGGAGATGTCCAGGAATCTATTGGTAGTCTTAGAATGCTTTGAACTTCCCTCTAAGCTTGAAATCAATCCACCACTTTTTGACAATTTTTGCAGTTTTTGTTTTTTCTTTTCACGACCTCTCTCTCCGTTTTTATGCACTGGTTGCGTCCTATATATGTATTAGAACTGATTAGGTCAATAAAGACGCATTGTATCTTTGAATATTATGAAGATTGGATTTGATTTTATTCTTGTATGATATGTTTCCGAAATAGGCCTAATCATGCCAATTTTTGCTTCAATTTGCTTTGCACGATTTGATCTGATATATATATATATATATATATATATATATATATATATATATATATATATATATATATATATATATATATATATATATATATATATATATATATATATATATATATATATATATATATATATATATATATATATATATATATATATATATATATATATATATATATATATATATATATATATAAATTAATGATAAGCACTATTTTATTATTTTATATAAAAAATTATCAAAATAATCAAAAATTCATCTATATTTTTTTAGAAAATCAGTTTTGAAGCTCTTGCTTTTCATTACCTCCCCCGATCTCTAAAACAAAGTTTTACTTTTATCATATGATAAAATGGAATTTTATCATCTTTTGTTAAAACACATAAAAATACATTTTTTACAACAAAAAAAAATACATTTTACGGGTGCATTCATTTTTAATTTTAAGTAGATTAAATATTATAATTTTTCTCGATTCAGTTGTTCATTTTTTCTTTGCTATATATTTAATTTAATAGCTAAAGTTTATATAAAAATAGAAGGTAAACAAATAATAAATTATGTTGTTATTTTTTTTTGGATGGCAAAATCAATTCTCTTAAAAATTATATTCATAGACTTAAGAGATACAACATTGTTATTCAAAGTCTTTGGATTTCCCGTAAAAGATCAGCTGCTTCTGATGCTTGAAAGCCAAAAATGTCAAAAGAAATTAGTAAGAAAGCATGTTGATTGTCTAAACACGATTTTTCATGTTTAACCACTTTACTTGAAGAAGCTTTGAGAGCTATTTGTCCCACACTTAAACCTCCAGTCATTAGTCTCATCAGTGGAGAAACGTCAGTCAAGTCCACACAAACATGTTTCTCTCTTACTCACACATACACCAGAATATATGTTGGCCTAAATTTCGATTTACCCTGATGTGGATCGGTTAAGAAATTCACAAGTGTCTCTTTTTTCAAATACTTTAGCCCATTAAAATATACCAAACAATACATCCCTAATAAGGTTATACCGTCATTTGAAGCATGGAAGCTCCCTACGATGAATCGTATATTCGTTAAATGAATTCAAACACGTCTTACGGCAAACAGCGCAAACCTCATCAATAGTATGTGCGGCTTACAACCAACTGAAAACTGCTTTCTGACCAGTGGGCATGTCAAACTTTACATCCATATTCTTAACATTTTTACTAAAAATTATACTTGCCAAAACAGTGTTATGCTTTAGGAGAGACAGCGTCCTTGCTTGTAAAACTGCTAAGATCAAAATCTGGCATCGCCACCCCAAGATCATCCAAAACTCTGTCGAAATCTGAGTCCATATAACATACCCCACTGTTTCTCAATATATGATCCTATAACACCCAAGATTGGACCCTATAAGCCACAAAAGCGTATGAGACAGTCTCTACTGTCGAGTACAAACTCAATCTCCCAACTCTAATGGATAAAGAGACCATCCTCCGTTGAGGATCCACGAAGAAAGGACCTCAACCAACCACGATGTCTTTAACTGCGTTTCACAACTCTTTATCAAATCAATTAGTTGTTTCCACCATATGATCAGATTGACACATTTTTAGATCAAAAATTAATTTGGCAATACCCATGTAGGATCGAGGTAGAAGAATTTCACTATGAGGATCTCTTAGTTGTGATAAAAGATGTATTAACTCAATAGTCCTGAAAGCCCTCTTCATAGATAACTCCTTGATAAAATTATCATCTCGACTAGTTTCCTTTCCAAGTAACTTCATCCTCATTATCAGCCTCCCAATGTTCGACGGGAACAAATTCTTACGAAGTTTACTACCATCACATGAAGGACAAAATATCTCAGTCTTATCAATATTCAATTCAAAGTCTAATCTTGGACCTGTTTCCGAAATATTGTCAATAGTTTTATCATCAAGATATCAGACATGAAGAAAAAACTTATAATTGTCTTTAAGAGCAAAAATTAACGGTCCTAACACATCACCTTATTGCAATCTAGTGGTTGACATAATATAAACATCAATCATTAGAATAACTTCGGAGAACAAGGTGGTTGTCATTGAGGAATGTGGTCTGCAAAGGTGCTTAGCCTCCAAAATTATCATATGTCCATTATAGAGAGTCATTTCAGATGATTCCAATATATTATCCGCTATTATGAAATAACTATCTACAATCTTATCGAAACATCATTTGACATTAAAATTCATCTTTTATTTTTCTCTTCAATATAAAATCTCCCACAATTTAAGTTATCTTGTTGGGATTGTCTAACACTCTACCAACTAACTTGTTCATTCCAAAAAAAAATAAAATTAAACCACCAGACCCGTATTCAACCCTACCTTACACTTGTCGAGCAATTCCCAACTTAGAACTTAATCTCATTCCATAAAGACAAGAAGCACGTGGCATTGGTTGGGTTACTTCACAAGTATAACGTGTCTTGAAGGCTGAATTAACATATTATTTTATTCTAAATAACCTTGACGAGTTACACGCACTATATCATGCGAAGGACACGAGTCAAACAAATTGTGCAAAACAAACAAACCATGTAGCAAGTGACAAGTGGAATACCATATCACCATGTTCATGTACTATTATTACTACACATCCTAATCCACTTCTGTTTCCTTGCCGATATCATAGGACTCCCACTCTTACTTTGTTTCATTTGCTATAAGTTCGCAACATCTCAACATAGAAGAAAATGATCCACACTACAAAGACCGTTCTAACTTTCTCACAAGTCTCTTCCTCCCGCCCACTCTCTTCTAACATTTGTCGGAAAACTTCACTAGTTAGATTTTGCACCAAACCTGATTCTGACCCTAAGATGGACGAGGCTCAAAAGGCTAATACTCAGAAAAAGGAAACTACTGAGCACGGGTAAGCTCAAAATAAAGTCTTCATGTGATTTGTAAACTTGTATGTATTTTATTCTAAGGTGAATTATTAATTGATGATGATATTATGAAGGGATGTGATGTCTCATTCGTTTGGAGAAGGGTATGCTACGAGATCTGATGAAGAAGGATTTGGAGGAATATATGGTGGGAACCAGTCTCTTCAGCAACATAAGTCTGTCCATGAAAATCATCCAGGTTATAATTAATTACTAAAGCTTATTGTCTGTTTTTTTTTCTCTGATTTTGTTCTTGTTTTTCTTGGGATTAAGATGGAAATGAATTATTAAAGCTAATTATGATTTGTTTGTTAATTATGTGAAGATTATGACAAGACGCAGGGAAGCGTTGTGAAAGAGAAGGAAACATCGAGGCACCAGAGCAACTCCAACTAGCTTATGCAAATATTATACCCATATTTTCGTTTTTTTGTTTTTTACTTATTTTCTTGTTTTTTTTTTAAAGGCTTTCTTGCTTTCCTATCATCATTTTTGTTTTTATTTTGATTCTTTTCGGTGTTTTAATTTATATATTAACTAGTTCCTGTTTTCCCTGAGGGTCGAGTTTTTTTGTTAATTTCTGTTTCTCTTTTCCGTTTGGTTCGGATCAATCTCTCTTTTATTTACAATATGTATTTTACCTGTGTTTTTTTTATATGTTAACTACTATAATTTCTCTTGGACTATTTTCCTAAGCTAGGTCTCTCACATAGGTGACTGTACCTTTTTTTTTACCTTTTCAAATCAATATGAACCGTTCCATTGGAAGATTTAGATTTTGTTTGAGAATTCGGAAGAGAAGAGACGGGTAGAGTTTGAAAGAGTTTTGAAGGGTTTATTTTCTTAATAACACTAAAATCTTCTAATTTTGAGAGGGTTTGAATTGTTTAGACAATTTGGAATGTTTTGAAGGGTTGTTATAATATTTGGGTTCTTATAGTATTTTAGAAATTAAATATTATATGAAAAAGTCTCTTCTACCATGTCATTTTGTGATATGATAATTATGTGAAAAAAGAAAAAAAAGTAAGTTGTGATGTCATTGTCATATTACTATTTTATTTTAATAATAAAATATTAAGTTTGTAAAATTTTTATGATGTGATTTTGTGACGTTATAATTATATAATAAAAAAATCATATAATAAAAAAAAAAGGTAAGTTGTGAGGTGATTATGATATTATTAGTTGTAACGTTATATATATATATATATATATATATTATTTTTTCCATTAAAATATATACATGAAGATTAAATTAACAATATATTTTAATTTTATTAGTTAAAAAAATCAACAAAACGATATTTCAAAACCTATATTTCAATTAATCAACTTGTATTTAATTAGCACGTATTTTAAAATCGCCGGTTTATCAGTTTGCTAAGAGTTTTGATCGATTTTTACATATACTTTTTGATCGATTTTTACATATACTTATCATAGACTATGATCGATAGACATTGGCTATAAATTTTAATCCATAAAAAATTTTATCCATAAATTCTGACCATACACTCTAATCCATGGAAGATCATATTCATATACTTTGATTATAGACTATGATTATAGACTCTAATTCATAAGAGATCTTATCTACAGAGATCAGACTCTGATCCATAAAAGATTTTATCCACAAACTCTAACATTAGGCTCTGATTCATAGATTCTGATCCATAAGAGATTCTATTTATATGCTGACCATTAACTCTGATTTATAGAACATCTTATCCACATATTTTAACCATAAATTCTTATTCATATGCTCTAATTCATAGAAGATTTTATCCAGATACTTTTATTATAGACATTGACCATAGACTATGGCTCATAGAAGATCCTATCCACATACTCTGACTATAGACTATGATCCATAGATTCTGAGTTATATAAGATCCTATCCACAGACATTGATCATAGATTGACTTTGATTCATATAAGATCATATCCATAGACTCTGACCATAGATTATGATCTATAGAAGATTATACCTACAAACTTTGATTCATAGAAAATCTTATCCACAGACATTAACCATAAACTGATCCATAGAAGATTTTATCCAAACTTTGAGCATAGACATTGATCTATAGACTTTAAGATCATATCCATATACATTGATCATAGACTCTGATCCCTAAAAGATATTATCCACATACTCTGACCATAGACTATGATCTGTAGACTCTGATCTATATAAGATCTTATCCACAAACTCTGACCATAGACTTTATTTCATAAAAGATCATATCTATAGATTTTGATCCATAAAAGACATTATCCACAAACTCTGAGCATAGACTTTGATCCATAGAAGATTCTATCTACAAACACTAATCATAGATTTTGATCCATATAAGATTTTATCCATAAACTCTTATCATAGACTCTGATCCATAGAAGATCTTATTCAGACACTGACTATAAACTTTGATTCGTAGAAGATCTAATCCATGTGCTCTGAGCATAAACCATGATCCATTGACTCTGATTCATAGAAGATCCTATCCACAAACATTGACCATAGACTCTGATCAATAGAATATCATGTCCATAAACTTTGACCATAGACTCTGATCTATAAACTCTGATTCATAGAAGATCCTATTCACAGACTCTCATCATAAACTATGATCCATAGACTCTAATCTATATAAGATTTTATCCACTGACTTTGACCATAGACATTGATCCATAAACTCTAATTTATAGAAGACTGTATTCATAGACTCTGGTCATAGGCTTCGATTCATAGACTCTGATCCATAGAATATTCTATCCAAAGACTCTGACCACAAACTCTGATCCATAGACTCAGACCCATAGAAGTTCATATCCATAGGCTTTGTTCTATAGACCATAATTCATAGAAGATCTTATCCACTGACACTGACCATTGACTTTGATCCATAGACTAATCCATAAAAGATTTTATCCGCTGACAATGTGTTAGATGATAGACTACGATCTAGAAGGGCGGTTTAATAGATCACAAATGAATTTTTTTAATTAAAAATTATGTTTTAAAATTGTTTAAACTATGGCGCGCAGAAATGAATTTGGATCAACATTCGTCTATTCGAACTGTTATTGAAAATACCGGATATGCGTTAAATCGATAGAACGGGTTTACGTATGATGAGGAAAATAATCAATATATTTTCAGTAAATAAAATTTGAATAAACTACAATGTAGAAATCAATTTCTAATGAAATACTCGACAAAAAATTAACTAAGGCAATTCGTCGAACACTTGGAGAGTAATCGATACAAACCATATTTTTGTTTGATTTTGTTGATGTTAGAAATTAATTACGATCACAAAGATTGTAATCACATGAACAAAACAATTTATGGTGGTAACCTAAGAGATTATCTCGATGTATCGATCACACAACCGAAGTTTTCACAATTTGTAATAAAATTTAAATTAGAAAGTAAGAGAGAAAGAGAGCGTCACAAGGATTTATTTAGGTCATTTCCTAATCGGCTTTGTTATGGGTACGTCTGCCCCTAACTTCGTTTGAAATTGAGATAATGAAAATTTACATTTGTAAAATGTTGAAACAAAAGAACAAATAGTAATTCAACAAGCAAAATCCTAAGTATGTTGTTGATCTTATCTTCTTCTCTCCCCTTGATCAAAGTAAGATCAAGTGAACCTGATACGTCCAAGTTGATCCTCTGTCTCACGCTAATCCTTTTCAAGAACCCCTATTCTTCAAAGACTTCACTCAGCTGAATCCAAATTATGAACGTATCATGGCTTAAGATTTATCAATTTTATCCTCTATCTCGCGCTACTCCTTTGACCCAACCAACCGTTCTTCAAAGCTTTTACTCGACTGAATCTAAATTGCGCAATCTTATCCAAAACTTTCAAATCACCAATTGATCTTGAATAAAAACCCCCACCTTGGCTTTCTTATTTGAAACCCTCAAAGAATTCTTAACCCAATTGATTACAATGAACCCTAATTGGACGCTATCAAGCTATCTCTAGATGGCACCCAAACAAAGAATGATTATGTGTAATTTGTTTGTGTGTATTAATAGAGAAATGATGAAAGTGATAAGAAATTTATTTGTATGAAATGATGCATGAATGACTATATATAGGTATAAGTGTATGAATGAATGAAACATAATAATAGGGTTACAAAATGACAAATTTGGACAATTTGATCAGTAGGAGTCGACTCATTCAAAGTGGGAGTTGACCTATAAGGGCAAGGGAGTTGACCCATACAACTTGAGAGTCGACTCCAATTGAACATAAGTGATTTTTGAAAATAAGCTTCAGTAGGAGTCGAGACATACACTTGGGAGTCGGCTCCTTCGTGTTATGTATTAACTCCAAATGGTCAGGGAGTCGACCCATTTTTAAAAGAAAGTTCCTTTTTGAAAAAGCTTCAGAGGGAGTCGACTCCTAACACGAAGGAGTCGACTCCAAACACGATTTTTCACCAAAATGTATATTTTTGAAGTGTTTGACTTTTCCAATAGCTTTTGACATGATCTCTAAGTATTCTAATATTAAAACTTAACTTAGACATAGAGATAACGTCCAATATACAAATATTATACTTTGCCTAGTTTTTACATCATTAAAAACTTATAAGAGAAGGATATTGCACTCACACCTGACCATAGACTTTGATCATAGAAGATCCTACCCACATACTTTGACCATAGATTCTGATCCATAGACTCATATTTATAGAAGATCCTATCCACAAACACTGACCATAAACTATAATCCATAGAGGATCCTATCCACAAATTCTGATCCATAGAAGAACCTATCCACAGACATTGACCATAGACTGATTCCTAGAAGATCTTATCCATAACCCCGATTCATGGAATATTCTATCCACAGGCTTACTACAAAATTGGGTTGGTAACATAATATTTTTACATGTTTCTCAGAGTTCGACAACATGGTCGATAGTAGTTTTAGGATGACAAAAGCTTTCCATATTTTAAGGGATTCCTCTTATTGATCAACACTAGGAGCATAGAATTCTCGAGTGAACCACTTATCGCCATGATTTTGGTTGGAGAAAAGTGCCATGGATGGAGTGAAATTGTGGAGTTTTGCAAACATCACGGCATACCCTGTAAAAGCCTCTTGCAAGGTATGCCCATTTTCAGTAGGAGTTGTTAAGGCCAGTTGAGCACCTCCGATCCTCTTACTTTTTATCTCTTCATCATCATCTTTTGGTAGGGTGTTCCCGAGCCGGTTTGGTTCAGTTTTGAGAGAATTTGACACCCAAATCGATCAAAAATATATGGTTTGGTTTGGATTAGATTTTCATTTTTTTTGTTGATAAAATCCAAACCAAAAAATAACGGGTTGGTTTGAGTTGGATTGAGCGGATACATTAGAAAC